TAAATTAAATATATACTAAATGTTGTTCCTGTGCCATAATTTAAAAAATCAGCCACAAAATACTTTCACTTCATATACTGTCATGTTCTTGTGTTATAAATGTGTAATAACAACATGAGCATTGTTATTAATGCTTTATAACTGTAAAAGAGGGTACAATCCCCATTATATACAATATGTAATTCTGACATCAGAACATTGTACATGATTTATGGGAAAAGGTGTAGGAAGAGGGATTTCTTAAGTGGAAAAATAAGAAACGAGCCTCTGCAAAGTTGTCTGTTTCCTGTTTGAGCGGTTGGTGTATGGAGGCCGTTTATGGGGTGAGTCATGCAGGTTGGACCTGTTTCAGGATGTGAGATTAACTGTTAGTTAGTACGCGACATGCAACGGTACACTGACTTCTGTAAACGCACATGACTCAAGAAACATATTGAGCGTCATCAGTGAGGTGTCCGTCAAAGTGAACTGGCTCATGAGTGCCTGTACTTTCTGCATGTGTATATTGGAGAAGGCTTCAAAAAGTATTTTTGGTGTGAAATTTTATATTTTGAAACACATAAATATTCTCATAATTCATATTTTCATTCAACTGAAGCTAATAATAGAATAGCATACTATACTACTCTTACTATTGCTGCAGTCAAAAAAAAAAAATAAATCAGACTGACAATAACAGTTTTCTAAGAAGATAACTGGATCCTATCTCTGAATTAAACATGCAATTTGACGAGTTCATACAGCATACTATGTATAGCATGCAACTATTTGAGATGTATATTTTACTATATACTATGACTATTTCACTATTTACTTCTAGTGAGTGTTGGGGAAAGTTACTTTTGAAGATTACAATATTGCGTTATTCCCTAAAAAAGTAACTAATTGTGTTACTTGGTTACTTTTTATGCAAGGTAATGTGTTACATTACTCTTGCTTTACTTTTTCTCAACTGGGGTGGGCTTGCTTGTTTGATTGTTTTTGTTTTTGATTGTTTTTAATATAAAAAAGTTCAGTTTTTTGGCAAAATGTAAAAGCCTCTGGCTGAAGGAAATGCAAATTCACATCTATATAGCAGAGGGCGAAGAAAGTTCAACATTCTTCAGCAATCAACCAATCAATCAATCAATCAATAAATGTTTATCTAAAGTAATTTTTGCTTATTCGTATGGTTGAATTGGTTCATCGAAGGTCAGAAGCAAAGACATTGGTTAATAAAATGGGATTAAATACATAATGGCTATTCATGTTATTTAACATTTAATTATTGAAGGTTTGTGTCATATTCTGAGTTTCTGAATTTTCTTTTTATTTCATTTTGAGGAATTCTGGATCTGTTTTTGTGCAAGTGAGATTAGTAAGTGCATGTTCACATTTATGTTTACACAGCACACACAATGCCTCTGAAGTCTGCACTTCTGAGTTCTCTCAACATGGGGACAGGATAGGTAACTAGCGTTACTTATTTTAAAAAAGTAACTCTGAATTTTTCTTGTAAATTAAAAAAAAAGTAATGTGTTACTTTACATAACTCGCATTATTAGTAATGCATTAACTCCGACACTGAAAATAGTCATGCTTTTTAAAAATTAGTATATAGTATACACTGTGCAGTATTGAGTAATTGGTAAGTCAGCATGATTGAAAAGACTTTGTGATTCATAATGGCAAGGCGATGGTTGTTCCAGCTTATGTTCAGGACATGTTTTAGTCATAGGGGTCATATAGCACCTGAGGGGGCTTCAAAAAGCTCAGCATTGCTTTACATTAAACACCTATTCCATTGCATGCTTAAACAGATCCTGTTCAGAAGTTGAAAAGTGGTTTCTCCTGTCAGCCTAATGGGAATGTAATAGGAGGAACGGTCAATCCCTCAAGGTCCTGGTTTGTTTGAAAACAGTTGGTAGAGAAAGTGAGTCAGACATGAAGGAGAAACAAGCAAGAAGTCTCTTTGTCTTAGTAACCCTGATCCGGGTCAGGGGAAACTGAAATCCGCGCTCAATCCTTGTTGGCCTCACTCACACAGCTGTGACATGAAACAGGTGCTGCAGTGACAGCAGGTTTACGCGTCTGACACCTCTTGCTCTTTTCCCCCTCAAACTATTTGTGAAATCTGAAGGATTAAGGGAAGAAGCCTTGCTGGAATTCTGTCAAAAGTTAGCACTCAGCCAAAGCTTACCAGCTTACTGAACCCAAAAACACTCTTTCAAGAATTTAGCCAGGTAGGTGAGCCACACTATGACGACCTTACAAATGAGTAAATGAGAAAATATGTTTTTGAACTTTCCATCAATCAAGTAATTCTCAAAGAAATATATCACAGATTTCACAAACATATTAAACAGCGCAACTTTTTTCGACTGTGAAAATAATGTGAAATGCATCAAATCAACATAATAACATGATTTCTGAAGACTGGAGGAATGGCCGCTGAAAAATCAGCATTACATCACAGAAATAAATTACATTTGAAAATATATTCAAATAGAAAACAGTGATTTTACATTGTTTTTTTTCCTTGCAATTGCTGTGACATGAAACAGGTGCTGCAGTGACAGCAGGTTTACGCGTCTGACACCTCTTGCTCTTTTCCCCCTCAAACTCTTTGTGAAATCTGAAGGATTAAGGGAAGAAGCCTTGCTGGAATTCTGCCAAAAGTTAGCACTCAGCCAAAGCTTACCAGCTTACTGAACCCAAAAACACTCTTTCAAGAATTTAGCCAGGTAGGTGAGCCACACTATGACGACCTTACAAATGAGTAAATGAGAAAACATGTTTTTGAACTTTCCATCAATCAAGTAATTCTCAAAGAAATATATCACAGATTTCACAAACATATTAAACAGCGCAACTTTTTTCGACTGTGAAAATAATGTGAAATGCATCAAATCAACATAATAACATGATTTCTGAAGACTGGAGGAATGGCCGCTGAAAAATCAGCATTACATCACAGAAATAAATTACATTTGAAAATATATTCAAATAGAAAACAGTGATTTTACATTGTTTTTTTTCCTTGCAATTTTAAATATGTACAGTATTCTTTACATTATATATGTACAGTATTCTTTACATTCAAATATTCTTAAAATTTTCCCCTTAGAGGCTTAAGTGAACTCAAAGTAGTGTCAAAGTAACACTATAGTGTTAGGTTCATTGCATTTTACTGGACCACTTTGAATTGATTTGGTAAAGAATATCAAGTTACTTACTGTATGTCTATAAATCAGTAGGAATAACAGAAATGTGAGTTCAGAAATGATGTAGTTCAAAGTCATTTTTTCAGTGATATCAGGTCATTATCTTCGCTAGTTAACGTGCGCCACACTTTTTTTGTTGTTTTTTTTTGTCAGAGGTCTATGGCGGTGTGTTTGATGACTGTCAGGGCCAGCAGTATCAAGGTCAGTGTTCTTGTAAATAAATATGTGACCTGCAGTAATGTATAACTACATGACAAGCAGAAGGCAATGAGTTTACAATCAGTCCCTCAGTAAACTACAAACACAATGAGATCAACTAGCTCACAGTAATGATGGACCGTGGGAGACTTATCAGAGTCTAAACTTTCAGAATAACAATCCCCTGATTTAGACCAGGATGATGTGATGTTTACTCAGGCATTTCGCAATGTCTTAAACAAGCCTGTTGATATACAGCAGCCGGATATCATCCGCTGCTTTGATCACATGTGTAAGAAAGAAGACAAGTTAATGAACCTTTATTTGACATGACTGCCAACCCAATATTTCCTACAATAAAAAAATAAAAAATGTAATTAATTAATAAAAAAATAAATAAAAAGAACATAATGGTTTTCAAAGATGTCCATCATCTAAGATGTATGGCAGTTTAATGAAAGGAAAGAAAAAACAGCATAAAAGGAAATGTTAAAAATAGATTAAAGTCCTGAATTTCAACAGACATGTTGTTACAGCCATCTTCAGCTTCTTGCACAACAAGAGATTAAAGTATTGTGTCCAGTGATGAAGGGAAACCACACAGCTTTAAATTCTAAAGAATCCAGTGAATCCTTCAGACACTTCATAAGGTAATGCTGCAGAAGTAAAGTACAGTACACCCTTGATCCTTTAGTAGATCATTTGTTCATGAATTTAATACTGCTCTTGGATAAACAGTAGATCTGCAGATACATGTTTACACATTTAGCTTTATTTACAACAGCTTTTTCACATTGTATTTTAGGGTGCAAAGCACACTATCATGAAAAAAAACCCCGTCAAAACATTTCTTGAGAAATGGAAAATAAGAATTGAAGATGAATACAAGGACTTTAATAGTATTTATTTGATGCTGGGAACAAGACTTGATGAATCATTCTCATAGTGGTGTCTGATTCAAACCGCTCCTCTTCTTGTAGCTCTTAAACAGAAACATGGGGAATTTTTTACCAGCATTAGTAAAACTTTTTAGTCTTGAAATCTTTATTACATTACTTGAAATCTTTATTTACATTACCTGAAATCTTTATTATTATTTTGCTCTTTGAGTTTGAGAAAGGCGTATTACAAATAAAATGTTTTATTAGTAGTAGTAGTGGTAGCATTATTATTATTAGTAGTAATAGTAGTAGTAATAGTAGTAACAGTCTTACATTATCTTAACATTCTGTTGGACCACAGTGGGGTCCTCTAGATTTCATGCACACATGCATATTTTGGTATAAATACATATGCATATAGTTTGTAGACCTAGATGATGATTTCATATTTTGAATGAAAAAACTTTATATATATTGTATTGTCCGCTCATAGTTCCATACATTACTTATTGTGTGGAGGTGTGGGGTCATACTCATAAAACCAATAGAAACTCAATATATATGTTACAAAAGAAAGTCATTAGGATTGTTAAAAGGGTTGATTACTACGAACCAACAAACAAATTGTTTATTAATTTACATGCTTTAAAATTTGCAGATTTAGTTGATTTATGTACATCACAGATAATGTTCAAAGATTGTAATAATTTACTTCCACATTGTATTCAGAGGCTGTTCAAAATAAGAGAAAGTCAGTATAATCTAAGAGGATTGTATGTTTAAAAAAAGTAAGGGCAAGAACTAATGCAAAAAGTAGGTGTTTATCTGTTAAAGGGGTAAATCTATGGAATAATTGTGATAAGGAATTAAAATTATGTAATTCACTCTGCAAATTCAAGAAAATGTATAAAAATAAGGTGATATACAATTATCATATCAATAATGACTCAGTATCAATAATTGTGAATGTATTGTTACAATATTGAAGTAATAGCTGGAATGTGTATTTTTGTTATGTTTGTTTTGAATTATGTATGTACATTTGAGGTAATGTTTATGTAACATGTTTATCTCGTACTTCTTAGTGAAAAGTGTCACTCATCAGTTAACTATGTATAAAGGGTAGGCATAATAAGCAAGGCTTTTAATTCGGTAATTATGTTTATTTATTTATTTTGTGAAAAGTTGTCTGTGAGGACTGAAATAAAATTATTGATTGATTGATTGATTGATTGATGTTTATCTTTGAAGGGTGTGGCTTAACATATGTGACCCTGGACCAGAGAACCAGTCATAAGGGTAAATTTCTCGAAATTGAGATTTATACATCATCTGAAAGCTGAATAAATAAGCTTTCCATTGGTGTAAGGTTTGTTAGGATAGGACAATATTTAGCCGAGATACAACTATTTGAATATCTGGAATCTGAGGGTGAAAAAAAAATCAAAATATTGAGAAAATCGCCTTTAAAGTTCTTAGCAATGTATATTACGACTCAAAAATTAAGTTTTGATATATTTAATGTAGGAAATTTACAAAATATCTTAATGGAACATGATCATTACTTAATACCCTAATGATTTTTTGGCATAAAAGAAAAATCGATAATTTTGACCCATACAATGTTACAAAACCAGTCTTACAAACTTAAGACTGGTTTTGTGGTCCAGGGTCACATATATCTTCAACTCACTTGTCACCTTTTGCAGGGGCGGTTCTAGACCACAGTAACTGGGGGGGCCAGACAGGGGCCACTTGTGCTTTTAGGGGGCACAATTTTAAAATCCATCTTAAACTACTTTAAGTAGCCTATTATTCATTCAGTCATTTTTCACCATGTCATGTATCGCTGCAATCTAGATGTAATCTATAACAATTTCAACTAAAATGAATGTTTCATCATGTTTCATTTATTTGACAAATAATTTTGTATTGTAGTGTCAGAGGCATCATTTTTGAG